TTTTTTTATGCATTCAAAAAACAAAATAACCAATGTCTTTTTTTGTTTTTATACATTATCGATCAACCACAAAAACTGTTTGCTACCACACACGCAAAACACAAAAAAAATTATTTGTCCACTCCATTTCACTCTTACTCTATTTCGAGCATTGAGACTCTCACCCTTTTTCATTAACAAGGAGTACTCGCGAGCACTCCCAAACAAAATAAAAGAGTGGCGAGTATACTCCTCAAAAAAACTCGTACTCTTCACGTACTTCCACTCAGGAGTATTTTTAACTCGCGAGTAAAATCGAGCAAATCAAAACTCTGATATGAAATAATTCTTAAATCACTGGGGACAATTTTATTCGTTTGGAATAAAATGGACAAAATTGTTCTGTCAAAAAGGTAGATTGTTCTGTCAAAAAATATTGATTTGTTTATGGAGAAAAATCTATTACCGATGACGGGTTCAGCAATTGAGCACAACTGAGTCTTTGAGGTATCGTAGTTTTACATTAGAAAAAAATCCTCAGAGCGGGACATACACAAAATTACTTTCTTAGCCCGTTCGAGACACAATATTTGTTCAAACGTCGATAGTGTGTGCAGTTCCAATTGGAAATACCATGTTTCGATATTCTATCTGCCAATTCGTCTTCCCTTTCTGGCGGAACTATCAGTAGGCACGGGTTTTATGCCTTTTGAACTGGGACATATTCAACCATTTGCACTAGCCTCTGTAGTCGAAAGAGAACAGATTTGTTATTATAAAAAAGAAAACAGAATTTTTTTCATTCGAAAAAGTTATTCATTGAGGGCTATTTAAAATAATCTTTAAACACTATGGTCAGATCTTAATTGCTAATCACAAATGGCAGTAATTTGGCTAAAGAAATTCCTATGAACGAGAACAATATTTCGTCTGTGGTGAAAAATTCGTCGATTCTTCTTCCTAGGCACACCAACCAGTTACTAAGATTTTTTTTAACTGAAAATAAGTTTCCGTCATGATAAACTGGGGGGTTATATAGTAACAAAAATCATTTTCTGAGGATTTCAGGATGATAGAGAACATATTTTTTTCAAAATCCGCATTTACTGATAAAAAAAACTTGTTTCCATAGAAACAACTCCTCAGAATCTGAGGACATACGTTCTTCTATAAAAAAAAAAAAATTAATCAATCAAAAATTTCTCAACCACCAAATACATTTAGCTTTTTGGAAAAATCCTTGGTTCAAGAGAATGAATTTATGCATCTCAAATCCTGTGATTTTTATTACCAATACACTATTTTTTAGACTCCTAGATTAGGTTACTTAAAATAAAATGTGTTTTGATTACTGTGATCAATTTTTTCCAACTTAGATTTTTTTGGAATAGGAAAATATTCCTCAGTCAATAAAAAATAATAGTTTTCAAGATAATAGTTTTCATAAAAATCTTGCCGCCTGTTAAAGCCCGCTTGAATACATGTATTAAGTATCTGTTTAGATTTTAATAATGCTTCCATTTATACCTATCATTTAATTACACCCTTCACCACACTGTGGTACAGGGTATTATGTCTTTGTGCATACGTTTGTAACAGGCAAAGGGAAACAAATTAGACACATGGTGCCTTTTGATAATATACATAGAATCACTTTCTGAGTCGATTTACGCATGTCCGTCCATGTATTTTTGTGAACAAAGTACAGGTCGCATTTATGATCCGATTTGGAGGAAATTTGGCACAGCTCACTTATTTGGCCCAAGGGCGAACCCTATTGAGATTTGGAAAAATCAATTTAGATTTAGCTATAGCTCCCATATATATTTTCTTCCGATTTAAAATTATTGGTGCACCAAAGTCCCTATATATCTCTCGATTTGCACGAAATTTGGCATAGCGTACTGAATTTAGTCGAGAATGATGTGTGCCAAGTTTCGTGAAAATCGGTTCAGATTTAGATATAGCTCCCATATATATTTTCGTCCGATTTAATGTAAATGGTGCACCAAAGTCACTAAAATCTTTAGATTTGCACGAAATTTGGCACAACGTTATGAATTAGGTCTAGAATGAAGTGCGTTGAGTTTCCTTAAAATCGGTTCAGATTTAGATATAGCTCCCATATATATTTTCGTCCGATTTAATGTAAATGGTGCACCAGAGTCACTAAAAATCTTTCGATTGGCACGAAATTTGGCACAGCGTAATGAATTAGGTCGAGAATGATGTGTATAAAGTTTCCTGAAAATCGGTTCAGATTTAGATATAGCTCCCATATATATTTTCGTCTGATCTAATATAATTGGTGTACCAAAGTCCCTTAGCATCTTTCGGTTTGCACGAAATTTGGCACAGCGTAATGAATGAGGTCTAGAATGATGTGTGTTAAGTTTCCTGAAAATCGGTTCAGGTTTAGAAATAGCTCCCATATATATTTTCGTCCGATTTTATGTAAATGGTGCATGTTGCTTAATATGTTTCGATTTGCAAAAAAAAAATTGGCACAGCGTAATGAATGAGGTCTAGAATGATGAGTGTTAAGTTTCGTGAAAATCCATTCAGATTTAGATATAGCTCCCATATATATTTTCGTCCGATCTAAGGTAATTGGTGTACCAAAGTCCCTTAGTATCTTTCGGTTTGCACGAAATCTGGCACAGAGTAATAAATTATGTCTAGAATAATGTGTGTTAAGTTTCCTGAAAATCTGTTCAGATTTAGATATAACTTCTATATCTGACCAATTGAAGAAATTAGTATCGGTTGCAGAATGACATGTTTATGGATCTAATTTCATTTTACTGGTCCTTTAAAAATGCGACGTCTGTTAGGATTCATCTGTTGAATATACCCAAAGTGGTGAAGGGTATCATATAGTCGACCCCGTCCGACTTTACTACTTTCCTTACTGCTTTTATATTAAAATAACCCACAAGATGGAAATTTTAGAATAACAGTAAAACGTACTAATGAGGCCCTTCAATAGGTTCATTCTATCATTTATATTTTTAAATAGTTCAATACAATTTAATATTAGTTATATATACATTTATAATCTGCAGCATTGAGTTACATTTTAATTTATATATTCTTCCTATTTCAGGTAATGTACAAAAACCGATCTCTTGGGTAAGCAATTTTTTCAAATCCTTATTAAAAGCATGTGGATAATACGAACATGGTAAATATTTTACTCGAATCCGACAGTTATTTAATACAATTTAAGATTTAAGGCTTTCTTGGTAAAGATCGAGAAAAACTGGAAAAGAGCAATGAGAAAATACGAATATCGATTTTATGTCTTTGAGGTTACAACCTAAAATGTTATAAGCGACAAGATCTTAATATAGGAGGATGCTTTGTTGTACAAAAATATTGTTCATTCAATATAACTGTAGACATTTCAAAAATAATCTGCAATAGACGCATAAAAGGATAAAACGGTTTGATTCATATAGTTTAGAGTTACCAGCAAAAACTGCATCAATCCATGACCTAAAAACTACGTTTGTGGCGAAGGGTTTTCGTCCCCATAAAGAATTCTCCAACCCTCCGACCATAATGTCGATTTTTATTGGTGTTCTTTTTTCAACGACTAACGTAACCTCTAGCGTATACTTTTTATACCCTACACAATTATGTTCTCAGGGTACTATAGCTTTGTGCAGCCCCAAGAGTTTGTAACGGCGCGAAATATTGATCCTAGACCCACATTTAAGTATACCGATCGTCACATCACGACTAGCTGAGTCGATCTGGACATGTCTGTCCGTCTGTCCATTATAATTTGTAAACACAATACAGGCCACAGTTATGGACCAATCTTCACGAAATTTTGCATGTAGGAAAATGAAGACCCCTATTGTTTTTTTGTAAAGATCGGTTAATATTTAGGGAATGAAATGGACTCAAAACTTTATTTTTATTAGATTTTCTGGTCGCGCCAGAGGTCGCAATTATGACCCAAACATCACGATTTTTTACATGAAGAAGAAAATTTGTATTCTGTGGCGTATATATTTACCCCTGAAAGACAAAGTCCCGAGAAATTGATAGTATATCAAAGAGGAGTGGTTGACCATTAAACTGATACCAATTATATTGTTGTATGTATGTAGTGGGAGATACACTTAAATATTTACAGGTACTTAAGTATTCAGATATTATTTAGTAACCCATTTTCACACCAGAGGACGAAATTTTAGCGCTGAACGCTTTGAAATATTCCATGAGGTACCAGTTATGGTCGAGGACAACGTCTATAATTTTCGATGACAATCAGAAAATAATATTGTGTTTTTTTTTCGAGTCGGTCTATAGGCCACAATTTAAATCCGAACATCACAAACCGACCTACGTCGAAGGGAATTTGGACAAGTAATTAGAAGGGCTGTACTGAATATTAGTAATATTTGTTGACCTCTAGTCGGTCAAGAGGGTGAAAATATCGCGAAATATTGCCCAAGCTCAGAATATAGAACCACAAAATGTTAGATTTTCGTGGGAATTGTGTAGGGTATCATATGGTCGGCCCGTCCGACTATACTGGTTCGCTCACTTGTTGAAAATTACTTTTCTATAATGATTCCATACGTCTACTTTTTCAAAATATTGTTTACGTGCATAATGAAATAATTTTAAGCATCTTCAAGAAGCTCGTATTTCTTAGATATAAGCCCGGATTTCTAACAAATAACGCACTAAAAGAAGCCTCAATTTTTATAAACCTAATTTTTGACGACGCGCGCCGATATGTTGTTTTTAAAGAATTTCCACCACTATTTCTCAGTTAATATAAGAAATGTGAACTGTTTAAAAAATATTTTTAGCAACTCTAAGATGGAATTTTTCAAATTAATTTTATAAATAAAAAATATTTTTTTTTACTTTTTGATTTTATTTATATGTTATTATCATAATATAAATATAGAATTTACTATTAAATATAACTAAAATTAACTTAAAGAATAATAATATATACAAGAAGAAACAAACCATCAAGGCTCGTTTAGTAATGTCTAACAATTCATCGACATTGACGGTCGAATACAGTTGTTGTTAACCGTTGACAATTTCTGAGGAATTTGTGTTGCATTTGTATTGCATTGAGCCACTGTAGCGTTTCGTTGTTGTTTCATTCTTAACATTTGCAAATATTGATGATGTCGCTGACGGGCGATATGACGTTGAAGATTATTTTTAAATACCGTTTCACGGCTCAACGATTGTAGATCATCCGCCGAACATTTGTCAATATTTTTTATGGTGTTGGTGATTAATTCGTGGGTTAACATCAACTTTGTTTGCGATACACGCATCTTTGACATGCGACGTCTTTGCAGCTCTTCACGATGTAAATACAAGGCATAGTTGAGATTGATGCGTGGTCTTTGTGATGATGATGACATGGGCTTTTTTAATGTCCTGTTGAGTTTGCCAGATGAAGAGGATGATGATGATGTCGTTAAGGCGGTGTTGGTTGTAATTTTGGGTGCCATGTTTTAATATAATATGTTTGAAATATTTTAAATTTTACTTTGATGACTTGGTTCTGAGAATGTTCTGTGAACACTGATGTCCTGTCTGTACAATCGCTTCGATTATATGCATGTCTCAACAAAAACAGGTATGTCATTGATTTGACTTCAACTCTTTCGTTTTCCAAAATGTTGGCACAATAATTTTTGTGGTATCTAATTAGGTCAGGTATTTTTTAATCAATGATAGGGTTGATGTTGTTCATGTAACATTTAAAATAGAAACTTTTGTTGTTGTTTAAAAAACATATACACACGTACACGAAGTCATTCTTCCTTAATCCTAATCCAGTCGTTCATAAAAATTAGGTATGGCCAAAAAATTCCAACATTTTTATGTTTCGACGTCACAGCTGCAGAAAACTGTGCCAAAACAATTATTGCGGACATTTTGTGGCTTAGCCTAAAATTGTGTAATTTTTTGTTGACTTTGTAAATATGTAAACCCTTTACCTTTTTTATTACTTGGGAGGAAAATTCGGGATATTAAATACATGCAAACACAGGGTATTTTTTTAAGAATACTCCGGAAATTTAATTTAACCTAAAGTGTATAAATCAAAGGAATCCCACCAGCGTGGTATGATCATGAAGATTAAAAAAAATATTTTGTAGTTATAGAGTTAACTATTCTGGTTTTTAAAAAGTATTTTATGAAGGTCTTTGATAAAACGTTTTTTTTTTAAGTAAAATTAGCGACTAAAAACTCATTATTGGGTATTTATACCCTTCACCACTCTGTGGTACAGGGTATTATGTCTTTGTGCATATGTTTGTAACAGGCAAAAGGAAACGAGATAGACACATGGTTCCTTTTGAGAATATGCATAGAATCACTTTCTGAGTCGATTTATGCATGTCCGTCCGTCCGTCTGTCCGTCTGTCCGTCCGTCTGTAGATGTTAAATTGTAAACAAAGTACAGGTCGCATTTATGATCCGATTTGGATGAAATTTGGCAAAAGTCACTTATTCGGCCCAAGGACGAACCCTATTGAAATTGGGAAAAATCGGTTCAGATTTAGATATAGCTCCCATATATATATTTAACCGATTTAATGTAAACGGACCCTATATATCTTTCGATTTGCACGAAATTTGGTACAGCCTAATCATTTAGGTCTAGAATGATGTCTGCCAAGTTTCGTGAAAATCGGTCCAGATTTAGATATAGCTCCCATATATAGTTTCGTCCGATTTCATGTAAATGGTGCACCAAAGTCCCTATATAGTCCTGATTTAGATATAGCTCCCATATATAGTTTCGTCCGATTTTATGCAAATGGTGCACCAAAGACCCTATGTATCCTTCGATTTACACGAAATTTGGCATAACGTACTGAATTCAGCCTAGAATGATGTCTGCCAAGTTTCGAGAAAATCGGTCCTGATTTAGACATAGCTCCCATATATAGTTTCGTCCGATTTTATGTAAATGGTGCACCAAAGTCCCTATATATCCTTCGATTTGCATGAAATTTGGCATAACGTACTGAATTGAGCCTAGAGTGATGTCTGCCAAGTTTCGAGAAAATTGGTCCAGATTTAGATATAGCTCCCATATATAGTTTCGTCCGATTTCATGTAAATGGTGCACCAAAGTCGCTATATAGCTTTCGATTTGCATGCAATTTGGCATAACGTACTAATTGAGCCTAGAGTTATGTCTGCCCTGTTTCGTGAAAATCGGTCCAGATTTAGATATAGCTCCCTTTTATTATAGATTGATTTTAAGTAATTGACGCACCAAGGAACCAATAGGCTGATAGGAACAAAACTTTCTGAAATTAGTATAACCTAACCTGTGACAAGTTTGTTTGAAATCGCTTAATATTTGGATAGAGCTTCCATATATATTTCCGATTTCAAGTAAATTGGGCAGCAAACTCCTCATGTTAATCAGATTGACATCAAATTTTGCACAACGTACAAAATTGAGTATAGAATTACGTAATTGCGTTTTCTAGAAATACAGACATAGCCCAACGGACGACCTATTTATATTTGTTTGAAGTCGATTTACATACTTTATGGATAGATCTAGGTAGATTCACATTTAGATAAATATCACATATTTTATTTCATCCAATTTCATGTTAATATTCATGTTTAATATACCCATAGTGGTGAAGGGTATCATATAGTCGGCCCCGTCCGACTTTACTACTTTCCTTACTGGTTTTAATATTGTAAAGAACGTCTAGATAGAGGATTTCTAGACACACATTTTTCGATACAGTTAAATTTAACGAAATTTCTTATTGTTATACATAGCATATGGTCTGTTCCCGTACTGCAAGAATCAACTATTTTTTACTACGATAACGAACTTTCCTTTATGGTATGGTCGAAGAAAATAGTAAAATCGAGTATATTCTTGCAGTACGAGAACAGACTAATAATTTTTAAAATGGATTACTACGGGATTTTTTTCATGTCAAAAGGATTTTCTTAATCGCAGCTAGGTTTAATTTTTTTTGCCAGGGAATCAACTATGACGTCAAACAACAATTGGGGATTTACAGGTAATTTTATGAACGGATTATAAATACAAATATTTGCTATATGTGTATTTTTTTATTGTGTACATGTAATCTTACGCAAGGATAGTCATATGCCCTTTCATTGATTAAAAAAAATACCTGAAGCAGTTAGAGGCAACCACCACACTTCCTACTGGAGCTATTACATGTTCATATACGAAAATATACCTGTATTGTCAACATACATATAACCAAAGGAATTGCACAGACAGAACATCAGTGTTCACCGAACATTCTCAGAACCAAGTCATAGCAGAGCAAATTAAAACTTGAAATATTTCAATATCGATATAAGAAACATGGCACCAAAAATGACTAACAACGCCGCCATAACAACTTCATCATCTTCGGCATCTGGCAAACTCAACAGGTCACTAAAGAAGTCCATGTCACCATCACATAGATCCCGCTTCAACCTTAACTATGCCTTGTATTTACATCGTGAAGAGCTAAAAAGACGTCGCATATCAGAAATGCGTGTATCGCAAACAAAGTTGATGTTAACCCACGAATTAATCACCAACACCATACAAAATATTGATAAATGTTCGGCGGATGATCTACAATCGTTGAGCCGTGAAACGGTATTTAAAAATAATCTTCAACGTCATATTGCCCGTCAGCGACATCATCAATATTTGCAAATGTTAAGAATGAAAGAGCAGCGGAGCAGGACAGTGGATCAAGTCATTACTAATTCAGAACAAACACCGCAACTAGTGGCAATGGGTCCTAAAAGTACTATTCCGGCTTCATCGAATTGTTAGACATAACATGATAAGCCTTGATGGATTTTATTTTATTTTTTTTTTTTGTATATATTATTGTTATATATTTTTTTAAGTATTTACTAAATGTTTGTAGGTATTATGTTTATAAATAATAAAAAAATCGGAAAAAGATGTGTATATGTTTATTAAATTGATTTAAAATATTATATTAATATAATATAAAAAAATCTCCAATCTAATAGTCCTTTTTTAAAATGTACGCTTTTTTGTTATCCACGCTCTTATAAATATTGCAAAAATATTTTAAACCAGTGAGCGAAGCAGTATAGTCGGACGGGGACGACCATACGATACCCCACACAACTAAATAATATCTGGATAATATCTGAGTACATAAGCATATGTAAATATTTAAGTGTAACATCCGAGTACATACGACAATATAAATGGTATCAATTTAAAGGTCAACCACTACTCTTGGAACCGCTAAGTTTTTACCGATCTTTATGAAAACAGGCATGCTTATTGTTAAGCCCCACCCCCTTCTCCATGTAAAATTTCGCTATGTTGGGCCATAATTGCGGCCTCAAGAGCGACCTGAAAAACCAACAAAAATTAAGTATTTGGTCCATTTCATCCCCTAAATATTAACCGATCTTTTCCAAAAACAATAAAGGTCTTCGTTGGCCAGAACCCATCCTACATGCAAAATTTCGTGAATATTGGTCCATAACTGTGGCCTGTATCGTGTTTACAAATTATGATGGACAGACGGACGGACACACATGTCTAGATCGACACAGCTAGTCGAGATATGACGATCGGTACACTTGAAGGTGGGTCTAGGATCAATATTTCGCGGCGTTACAAACTTTGGGGCTGCACAAAGCTATAATACCCTGACAACATAGTTGTGTAGGTTATAAAAATGAGCTGTTGTTGAGGTTTTTGATAAAATATGTTTAAACCAGTAAGGAAAGTAGTAAAGTCGGACTGGGCCGACTATATAATACCCTTCACCACTTTGAGTATATTGTACATATGTGTCCTAACAGACGTCGCCTTTTCGAAGGAACATTGACATGAAATTGAATGGGCTTAAATATGCGATCTCTATCTATAAGTAAACCGACCAACATCAATCCCAACACATGTCATTCTGCAACCTATTCTAAATTTTGTATATAGATTTAAAGCAATATTTACACACGCTATTTGGTATGCTTCACAGTTTAAAATATCAAAATATCGAAAAAATGTATGGATATAGCTATGCTATATCTACATCTGAGCCGATTTCAAGGAAACTTGCCAGAGATTAATTTTTATTAATTTCAGTACTTTTTGTCAGTCGGCCTAGCACCATTTACTTGACACACGAACGGTTATAGTAACTTCACGAAACTTATCACACATCATTCTTGACTTAATTCATTGGGCTATACCAATATTCATGCAAATCGGAAGATATATATGGACCATTTACCTCAAGTCGGACGAAAATATATATGGGAGCCATATCTAAATTTGGCCCTTTTTTTGAAATTTGACACACGTCTTTCTAGACTCAATTCAGACCACTATGCAAAATTTCATGCAAATCGGAAGATATATAGGGGCATTAATGCTCCACTTACATAAAATCGGACGAGAATATATATGGGGGCTATATCTATACCTGAAACGATT